TGTCATGGGTGATTTAAATTACCCGGACATCTACTGGGAGGGTGATTTAAATGGGTGATTTTTTAAATGGGTGATTTAAATTACCTGGACATTTGCCACAGAAAAATGCAGAAAAACTGGGATTTTCTCATTCTAAGGAGAAAAACATGGGAAACAGTGGGTTTCCCCTGCAGGGAGCAGGAGGAGGGCAGTCAGACAGGGGTGCCATGTGCATATGCACACCTACGTATGGACGTGACCAGGGATGTGCCTGGGTAGGTCCCTGCAGGGAAGTCTGGCAGGAAGGAGGGGGTGCAGTCAGGGGTTGAGGCCCCCATAGGGAGGGAACTGAGCAGGGCTGTAGCGGGGCTGCTGCCCAGCTGGAGCAGTGCTTGGGGCTGGGGCTGGGGCTGGGGCTGGGGCTGGAACACGTGGCTGCAGGGCCTAGGCAGGGAGTAGGACAGAGCCATGGGCAGCTCCTCTGGGAGGGCCTGGCTCCTGTCATAGGCAACACATGGTGGGGGCAGATGTGCCGCCTGAGATTGGCCACCACTGTGGGCGGTGACTATGGGCAGTCCCTGCTCACCGCCGTGGTGCCCCCCCTCCCAGTCCTGGGAGGCTCCCCATTGCTGCACGCACTCACAGGGGGGCATGAGGGATTTGTGCATGGGGTGGGTGCGGGCTCCCCGTCCTGCTGCCCTGCCTCACCCCACCCTGCTCTACCCTGCCACTCCAGGTCCTGCCCGCTGGGCCCCAGAGGCCTTGGGGGAGGGCAGCAGGATGGGGAGCCTGAGCCCATAGTGGGCAGCTTGCATCTGCCCCCACCCCCCCCAGCCATGGGCTCTGCACCAGCCATGCTGCCCATGGGGGAGTCGGACTCTGCCACAGGCAGTAGCTGGGGCTCGGGTACTGCTGCAGGGGTAGGGAGCTGTGGACCTGGGTCCTTGGACCTGTAGCCCTGGGAGCTGGAGGCCCCCTCTGGCACGGCTGGGGACGGGCAGGGGGTTATCAGTGGCTCAGTTGGCTGTGGGTGGGGAGCAAAAGGGACCACCAGGGCTGTGGGGGCTGTGGGTGGGGAGCGAGGGGCAGTGGCATGGGCAGGGCTGCTGAGCCCCACAAACTAGTGGCCGGGGGGAGAGCTGCAGCTGGACCTGCGTCCTCATGAGTGAAGGGAGCAGGGTGAGCTCTGATTTTCCATGATAAAAACCCCAAATCAAATGCCAAAATGCATAAGTATTTAGAATGTATTGTTACAGTGGTTGAGGCACTGGTAGGCTTCCAACCTGCATTAAAATTGTACATATAGCAGTAAAGCATTGTGTTCAACTGGTACCTTTGTGCGTTCGGAGACATTTCATTTTAATCACGGAAAAGAAACATGGATTTTGGGGGTTTTAATCAAAGAATTTGCAATTTTTTATCAGAGAAAACCAGGATCCCTGAAAAACCCTTAAAACAACATTAATAATCTTTTGTTTTGACGCAGCCTGTGACTGCCCATGCAGGGCCCTACCATCGTCGCTTCAGGGAGCGCTGGGCACTGGGGTCATGTTGGGCAGCTTGTGCGGAGGGCGGGCTGCGCTGCCGCTTCCCGCCAGGGTGCGCTGTGTTTCTGTCAGGTGGTGCCATGGAGCCACTGAGGGGCCCCAGCATTGATGGCAGACAGGCTGGGATTCTGGCTGGTTGGGAGGAGAGATTATGCTAATTAGGGGACAGGGTTCCTGGGTAAGGTGTGTCAGCGATGTTTGGCGGCGGTGATTGCGGGAACCCAGTGACAGCACAGCTGGCCCGGCATGTGGTGCCACTGTGGG